TTGTTTTTAACCCCCCCCCCCCCCCCCATTAAAACGTCACAAGAAACTTTCAGCAATCTTGCAATGACTAAATAGCTAAAGTAACACAAATTATTTTAAACAGTAGTTTAATCTGAGTTATACTGATCATGTATCAGTCAGCAGCGTTTGAAAGGACAGTTACGTGAAAGAATCAACAGCTCAATCAATAAACCTATTTTTGCTATGTGCTGAGGCCTCCAGTGGCAGCATCTATGCAGAATGCCATATGCCTTTATGTGAGAGAGCAGACCTGCAAGGAGGTGGTCTTCATCCTCGCTCCTAAGCATTTTGCATTACAGAGCATCTCCCCTAGTTCCTCCCACTCCAAAAGCAGCAGCACAGGAGCAGGGGCAAATTCACAAAATCAAAACAGAAAATTTCATCTTCTGGCCTGGATCAGAATGTATCTTTCAGAAAAATATTTAACACGTTTTAAGTATTTCAGGCAATGGTGAATCCATAATTCTTACATTCAACCCAGAGTGTAATTACCTTCCCTGTTAGGAAACTTTGTTTTAAGTTAAGCAAATTATCCCTGAAAATTTTACCCATTTGGGCTTGGGTTTTCAGGGGTGGTGCTTTGTTTTGTTTTGTCTTTCAACAGTAAAAAACTGTTGCAAAACCTTTTTTTCCAATCGCTCCGTACCTATACATGAGAGAGCCTGTTCCCAATTCCTAAATCGTTTTTTGTGATTCCAATTTTTAATCATCTCCTTTGCTGGTTTCTCACAGCTTATTCCATGCAGCTCTTTTACTGAGTAGTTAACATCAACCTCATGCTTCCAGATGACCAATATCTTTCAAATTCTACTTGTGATGGTGAAAAACCTTTTTGTTACCCTGTCTCTTTCTTGTTATTTCATTTCTTATATCTTTTCTGGAGAATCTATCATTACTGCCTGTGCATCTAGGAAATCTTTTGTACACCTAAGGTACACTCTTTTTAAAAGAGTGTGAATGAGTGTTTCATTTAAAGAGTTTTTCATCTTAGGATGTCAACGGCCAGCACTCTTCTTTCCATATCATAACTGGCTTTGCAAACTTCCCATCCAATCGCAGAAATTCTTAGAAACTAAATATTTAGCCAACACACGTCTCTCACCAGGAACTTTTGTTCTGTGCGTTATCGTGAGAAAGAATATTTGTGTAACATACAACAGTTAATAGTGTTGATTTCTGCACTACAGTATCAAAGTATAACATTGATCATGTACAGAGCAGCCAACAGAAACAACATAAGGGGAAAAACTCATTACCTTTATCAATGGAAAATGTCCAAGAAAAACAAAAACAACAGTTACAAAATGAGAGGAGGAACGTAATATAGTAAGGACAAAGAACTTTTGCTTCCATCTGCAGATTCATAGTTCGCAGCAAGAAATACATGAAAATTTTAATATTTAATAAAATTTTTCTTGTATTACATATACTCTTACATCTCAGCTTCCTAAGAGAAACAAATTTATATTAAGATATCAGTATGTAACAAAAGTACTAAGTCATATCTACATTTATCTGCTGTATGAAATTTCACTTTTACAACATTGACCTTTTCTACATCTGATCTATATTCACTTAACTGATAACATCATAGACATAAATCATTTTATAGTCCAAGTAACATAACAGAACACCAGGAATACACATTAGCATGGGATTTACTTTAACAAGAATTCAGTCCTCCAAAGCACACGAGTGCTCCTCAAATTCTAAAACAAAGTTCAAATAAGCTAAAATGTTGTTTTTAAATTCTTTACAAAACAACTTCCCTTTACATGCCTTTTCTATCTTGTTGTTCCAGTAGATATCAAGGAAACACATAAGGATAACAATATTTTGTTCAAAGGAAGGAAGCAGCTTGCCTTTACCAAGAGGTTTTATCTATAATAATGAGGCTATTTTAATATGAATCAATTAACACAATATTGGGAAGCGGAGAGGAAGAAAGGTTTTTCAAAGATGCATTCTTTTAGTCTTCACCTCACATGTGAACTAGACATCTCAAGCTTCTGAAAATATATATCAGGAAGTTTTTTTGTTTTTAATAAAATGAATTAAGCTAAATATTTGCACTCAGATTAACTAAAGCAAAAAAAAAAAAAAAAAAGTAACTTGTTCAACTAACAAGGCAACAAAGCTTTCCTTTTCCCATAAGTATGAGTTATTCTCAGAACACATACAAACACTAATCTCAGTACCTAAACTAGAACTACCCAAATTTGTCTTCTCTTCCTGTAAACTTGTGAATATGTTTTCACATAAGGACAGATATGCCCAAACTAGATGTATCAGGTTAGGCATAGTGCCACATAGCATGGATATCCATCTTCCAGATCACAGCCAGCTTACATTTATCTGGTTCAGAGCACAGGCACAAAACCACATTGTTGCAAACCTATCTTCACAGATATGCTTTCACCTACGTATGAAACCCCTTCTGAATTTTGCTTCTGATTGCCCTTCTACTTACTCTGGTAAGGGTGGAAAAGGGCAGACATAAGTAGATGTAACTGTAGTTTATTCACCTGCTCTTTCCTACTCTCTCTTTCCTACTCAACTTCTAATGATGACTAAGATAAATAACTAAATTTCCTGCTTCCTCATCTTCGAGTGTGTACGTCCAACACGTCCGTTGCTCTTATATTTCTTAGAATTTATTCTGCAAGAGTTACAAAAATGCACAAAATGAAATATTAGCTGGGGATGGGAAACGCTCAACTACTGTGTTTTAACTAAATAATATCTTCTTGATAAAACCACTAAGCCTTAGGTATATACGATTATATTAAGGCTTTCACTATGTCAGCGTTTGGCAATTTGACCAGTAAAAATAGTGAAGAAAACATCTAATTTGACTGGAACATTAACACCTTCATGGAAGTTATCGTGTATTTATCAACATTAAAATAGCATTTTAAAAGCAAATAATAATAATACCTATGTACCTGCTAAAATACAACATACATCAAGAAGAACAAAAAATACAATACATCTGTCCAAGGCAATCTTGTTTAAGCGCTCACCTCATAGCATCAGTCTTGCTGTTGACATTTAAAATAGTAGCTGCTATGAGGTCACATTCTATTTTCAAGTTAAAAGTATGTCTTGGATTTCCACAAAGATCATGTAGTTAGAAAGACAATACAAATGAAAAATGATAAAACAAGGTTTCCACTCCACAGCTAAGGGATAATATGAAGTAGCACTGCTTACTCCTTCATACTCAATTGATGGTACCAGCATTACCTCAAAACACTGTAACATTTATAAAATACTTTGAATGCAAAGAAAACACTATTTGTAAAAATATATATCAAAACAAAACTTAATTTCGCTAAAAAAGTAATTGATCAGGAAAAGAATCCATGACCAGTCTGGGAGGCTGCTGCATCTGTGTACTTAATATGCAAAATAAGGTCTCCCTCTACTTTCAGAGAGGGATGAAACACTGCAGCAGGCATACACTTGATGCACTACAAAACTTACGGTTATGACAGGAGATTTGCAAAGATGCCACTAAGGAATGAATTTGAAATTCCATAAGAATTTTTTTTCTCTTACCTTACAAAGGAACTTGAAAGGAGTCCAGCAAACCCCACTGCTGCGCCAACAACAGCTACTTTTCGGCAACCAAACAGGTCTGTGAACACGCTGACTATCGGAGAGCAAAAGAAGATCATCCCCATTGACAGAGAGCTCACCCATGCTGCAGAACAGAGAAAGGTAACATTTTAGAAGACAGAAGTGATTAAAGCTTTCAAGTATGATTTGCTTTAAGTCAGTAACATGAAATCATATACAAAAGTGAAACAATTATGTAACATTTCAAATATATACCTAACATGGTAAAAATTCAAGGCCTGACAGATTTACATAATCAACTAATTTAGACATTATCAACTCCAGGAACGCAATTAACGATGGAAATTATTATTATTACTTTTTTTTTTTTTTCCAAACACAATTATTCCCCAATGTGAATACTGGTTTAGTCACAGAGGCTCCATAACCATTCTGAAATATATTACCATACATTTCACTTGATTTAATTCTAGACTTTAATGACTTTTAGCAGCTAGGATAGCTGAAAAACTTAATGAATTTTTAACTTAATTACAGAAATCTAGATCATACCACTGAGTAAATTAATATTAGCAATTTGCATATAGCTTTTATACTGTAACATATAGGCTAGGAGTATGATTTTATTTTAAAGCAAAAGAACTGTGCTAATACAACCGCTTCCTTAAATGATGGGACTGCCTCTGTTACTGCTTCAGCTCTACAAACGTTGTTAAAGCTGTACTTTGTTTATGAAGAAATCTTTAGATCTTTAAGATTCAGTTCAGGTGAGTACACTAAAGCTTCAGCCATAGAAGTCCTTGTTCTTTTTTTTTTTTTTTTAATCCAAATGTACAGAATCACCTGCTAAAATATCTTCAAGCAACTTCTGTAAAAAAAAAAAAAAAGTATTTGATTCATTTTGAGTTAAAATCAACTTTCTACTTCATTTTGTACAGAGTCATGTATTTAAAACCACATCATTTACCAGCTACCATCTAACTGTTCTCCCAAAGCTGTGTTAGTCATGCTATGTTCAAAAGTTCTCCTCTCAGGGCACCCAGCACATAAAGGCAAGACAATGTTTATAACAAATGCTGTAAATGTATGTAAATATTCCCCTTAGTTGTGCTTCTATTCAGAAAGAGAAAAAAAAAATCTGGTGTAACTGGGTAGTGGGAAAAGCTCCTGATGCAAAGATGTATTGGGAAAAAAAATAAACTTCTGTTTGAATTGCCTAGAAAATGAAAGAACTCTTTATCTAAAACAATCTGGAAGAGGTTATACATTTGTGTAACTGTGGCTCCATTTAGAACCCCTTTCCTAAAGACATAGTTAGATAAACAATTGTGATTCAGTAACAGAGAGACATAAAGTTATCTTAAAAAATATAACCAAGAGACCTACGGAAGAATATTTAGAAGGAAACATATCAAGATTTAGAAGCAGCGTCGTTAAAAGGCTGAAGAACCCTACCCATTGATGAAGATCCCATTGTGCTAGGCACTGTACAACGGAACAAAACAAACAAGCAAACAAAAAAAAGTATTGTTCCTTCATCAGAGAGTTTACAGTATAAATGAAAGCCAAAAGAAAACAGATAGTTAGAGAAAATCAGAAACGCGAGTACAAGAAATAACCCTTATTTTACGGTAGAGAATGATCTCAGTGAACCATGACCTAACTGTTTTTTGGGGAGTTTTGTTTTGAGGGGATTCTTTTGTGCACGTAATAAACATTTTGGCATTTCAAGGAGCAATTAAAAGAAGAGTGAGGTACTTTTACGGATATTTATTGCAGTTCTTGGTTATGACAAACCCAGACATCATCAGTCCTGCCAGCGCGCGCCTCTGCAGCAGAGGGGACACTAACCAAAAGACGAGGACAGAATTTATGAAAGGTCCAGCCTTTCTCTTCCTTTGTATTCAAGTAAAGCTCAAACGTACCCTGGGCATGGCAAGAGATGACTTAAGAGACCTGCCTGCCCTGTGCTACAGCACAGATGGCCCCTGATATCGTTAAGACAACAGCGCACCAACTGAAATGCACAGAGAGGAGTCGAAGCAAGTAAACGCTCTCTCGCAGACTGGACACCAGCCAGTTGTAGAGCTCCTAGAGTCTGCAGAACTCCTCATTTCTTTCTTTACCTTCCCCAGAACAAGGCACACGGAGCCTCCAGCTCTTCCACCCAAAGGAAACTGAATACAGTAGGGAGAATGCCCACAGCTTTACACACATACCGCAGCTCTGTCACACCGGACTTCCCCTGACACCACTGCATGACGTGTAGGGCAGGACTAGGAACCACAGGCTACCTATGCCAGCTGGGGTATCAGCAAGGCCAAGACAAAAAGCAGCTAGAGCTTGAGAAGCAGGCATCACAAGATGACAACACCCGCTGTAATCAGATTAGCCTTGCTAAGAAGGTACTGAGGAACAGCTGAAACTCCTGCCAGGCTTTCTGCCTAGGTACAAGAGGACACAAAGGTGACAATGGCACTGATGCAGCTCAGCAGAGATTACTGGCTCAGAGTATCCAATCTCACATGTACCCCCACCCATGCGTACAAACGGGAAGAAACTGGTCAGCCAGAACAGGGTTTAAATAACTTTCATGAAGTCACAAAATAAATTAATTCAGAGCGACAAATACAGTCCAGCAGTCCTAATTTCCAATTAGTATAGGCCATGATTCAAGTAGTTATCTCCTTGGTTTAATCAAGTAGTTTACAGTACTTCTTAATAGCTTATAGAACTAATAATTAGAATATAAAAGCCTAAAGGGAAAACATTCAGCCCAAATTACATCCGATTAGCAACATGCTGACTTTGTATTTTCATGTTTCCAGATATTAATGAAAGAAATATGCCTTTCTTGTCACTTGATTTTATTTTCTTCTTGTTACGGCACTGCCAGGCAAAGCCTGAAATGAAGGAAGGGTTCCACTGATTTTCAACTGAACAGACAGAAAAGAAGGACAACAGCATTATCATCTGAAGCTTTTCAGAATGGCATTGTAATCATAAGCGCAGAATTAGGAGCCAGAAAAATTTTATTTTTTACCCAATCAAAAACAAAACCACATACCCCCTATCCAACCATGTTATACCATTTAGCTACCTAAAAAGAAACGGGAGCCTTTTAACTTACTTACAACTGTAAGTTCATATGATACTCTTAGGTCTAACAAAAATGTAAACTACAGATATATTTTGGGGATGTATTGTATATGAATGACTTCATTATTTCACCAAAAAAAGTTAAGTTAAACTTCACAAGATGCATACCTTCTGAAATTTACTGTCTTCATCCTTTGCGAAAAACTCATCCTTAAAATAAAATTTAAGATATTTTAACTCAGAACAGCACATGTGCAGATCATATTAATTTCTTAAAGGCAAACAAGTCTTGTTACAATATCTTGATCACATGAAGACATTAAATATATTCAACAGACTCAAGTAACTTTAAATTCATCTTTGCTCAAATAAAATGTTAAGTGTTCTCACACTTTTTTTTTCCTTATAAAAAAGGTGCACAGAACTGTCTTCCACGTTTTTAAATATAAATTACAATAACCATCCCAAACAAGTAACATGAAAAATTACAAATGCAGCTTGCCAGAATAATGAGAGCCCTCTAGAGCGGTTATTATACATTAATTAAAACACTTCTCCTCCAGGCTACTGGCTGCTTTCCTGGCCACATGCTGGCCATATTCCAGAGCTGCTAATTCAAATACTAATGCAGTACCTAATTGCTACATATGACTGCATTCGTATTTACACATAAAACACTTTAATTGCCATAAAAGAAAAGTTACTCCTCCTCTAAGGATTTAAGCCTTCCTCAGGCACTGGAACTTAAGATTTAACTCCTCAAAATACGTAACTGCATAATAATCCATTTCTGACGTTCCCTAGAAGATGTAACACTAGTTACTACTTAAGATAAAACACTGAACCAGACAGTTTATTGATAGGATCTGTATCAAAAAATTATGTTTCTATGCCATTCAAGCATGCAATAGATTACAGAAGAATGTATTATTGTAACCAAATTAAGAATCACAGTTGCCACTCCTTTGCTTATAAGATTTCATTACAAATACATGTCATACAGCTGTAATCTGAGTATATGTTCCATTTTTCTTAATTTATTTTATTTCTCTGTTTGGAAGTCTATGGCTACACCACGTACTCCACAAACACACTGCCATTTTACCATGAGTTTGTTAAAAATCAGTCATATTTAAAATAATACCTGTTGTCTTTGGCAATAAGTATAGTATTTATTATTTTAGTGTTCTGAAAATCATTCCCTTTTCGTCAGAGCTGAATTATGTAATATTTACTTTTGTACCAAACTATGAACCAATGTGTCAAACCTTTTAGTTCATTGGCTGAATTCAAACACTAGGTCTTATAAGACAGCTTAATAAAAAAAGCATTCATAGCATATCTCATTAGAACGTATCATCAGGCTCAAATTTAAATGAAGGCTGCTCACCCATGAGCAGTATTTCTCTTTACATCAGATTTTTACTATGCATTACAATAAGGATATCCTCTCAGGTTTATCCTCAGAACGTCTTTCAAGTGGTTGGCTTAACACAGCAATAACAGTTCATTTTTTAATGAACTTCACAAGATTTTTAAAGAACCTTCCCTCAGGAATTTTCAGGTTGGAGACGGGGAATAAAAAGGTGTTGTCTGGAAGAGAAGTGATATGAGGCAAATGAGGAGAAGAATATTTTAATTGAGATCTGAAAATCCACTCAAAAAAACATTTGGTTTCCCTTCGTTAAAATCAGATATACGTATTCATACAATTCACGCAGCAAACCCAAGACAGCACTATAATTACAGCTTACTGGACAGATCGCAGAGTAATCTGTTAGGCACCACACACACTAAGTAAGACTGCAAGTGAAAGCAAGCTTTTTGGATTTCACAGAATGGCAGATTCTCATGCACACAGATATATAGCTCTACGCTATTTTTAAATATTCACTAAATAAGAGTAGCCAACTATCCCCTAAACCAGTGCCTTTACTCGCTGTCAGACATCCTTTCCCAAAATCTGTTCTCCTGCAGTCCTATTACGTAATCTGCACTGTAGTTCAGGCAGTACTATACCGCTAATGCTTAAAAGTACAAGCCATAATGATGCTGGCTAATGAAAAATCAGCACGTTAACTCATAATGAACAGACACTACAGAGTCAGGGACATGACTCAAACTGGTTCAGACTCCCTTTCTTCATTGAGAAAATGAAAATAATACTTCTCTCACTTACTAAAGAGAATATATAAAATTCTTATAGCTTGCTGGTAAGAACTCTTTAAAAAAAAAAAAAAAAAAGAGTGCGGAGGGAGCTGACAGACATCATTGCTAGGTCACTCTTGATCATCTTTGAAAGGTCACGGTGATCAGGAGAGGTGCCTGAGGACTGGAAGAAAGCCACTGTCATCACCCAAGTCTTCAAAAAGGGCAAGAAAGAGGACGCAGGGAACTACAGGCCTGCCAGCCTCACCTCCATCCCGGGAAAGGAGGTGGAACAGTGTGTCCTGGAGGCCATCGCTAAGCACGTGGAGGACAAGAAGGTGATCAGTAGTCAGCATGGATTCACAAAGGGCCACCCTGCTGGAAAGCAGCTCTGCGGAGAAGGACCTGGGGGGTTCTGGTGGACAACAGGGTGATCACGAGCCAGCAACGCGCCCCCGTGGCCGAGAAGCCCAGAGGTATCCTGGGCTGCGTTAGGAAGAACGCTGCCAGCAGGTCGAGGGAGGTGATCCTCCCCCTCCCTCTACTCAGCCCTGGGGAGGCCTCACCTGGAGTCCTCCTTCCAGTTCTGGGCTCCCCAATACAAGCAAGACATGGAGATTCTGGAGTGAGTCCAGCAAAGGGCTACTAAGATGATGAAGGGCCTGGAGCATCTCTCCTATGAGGAAAGGCTGGGAGAGCTGGGCCTGCTTAGCCTGCAGAAGAGAAGACTTGGGGAGGGGGGGAAGGGGGGATCTGATCAATGTGTAGAAGTATCTGAAGGGAGGGCGTAAACAGGATGGGGCCAGGCTCTTCTCCGTGGTGCCCAGCGACAGGACGAGAGGCAACGGGCACAAACTGATGCACAGGAAGCCCCGCCGGAATACGAGGAAAAACTCCTTTCCTGTGAGGGTGACAGAGCCCTGGAACAGGTTGCCCAGAGAGGTGGTGGAGGGAGTCTCCTTCCCTGGAGATGTTCAAAAGCTGTCTGGACGCAATCCTGGGCAACGGGCTCCAGGTGACCCTGCTGGAGCCAGGGCAGTTGGACGAGATGATCTCCAGAGGTCCCTTCCAACCTCAACCATTCTGTGATAAGACAATACATTATTTTTAAATGATGATCTTGTATGACTAAATACAGGAGGAGAAGTAGGAATAACGTGTTTAAAAAATTGTTCCAGTCCGTTATCGATGTCCACCTCACGCAGTGAAGAGGTTTTGTGTGAAAAAAGTAGTCTATTACTACAAAATCAGGACGCAGAGTTAAGATAACAGCTTAAATATCGGCACTTACTAACTTCTGAATGCATAACTTTATAACTTAAATAGTATTTAAGAGATTTTCCTTGCATTTTACTACAATAATTTGAGGAAAATAAAGGACAATATTTACAACATGTAGCTAAAACCTTCATGCTTCCACCAAGTTATATGATTTAAGTAAGAGTAAGGGAAGCATGTATTCGCCCAGCCTCAAACCATTAGCAGCTGAGGGACTTCCTGTTTTGTTTGAAAAAAAAAATTCGGACATTTCAATGCATTTTTAACATTCAGACGATTTCTCTTCCATGAATTTCCATGTTCTTCTGGAACACTTGTGCATGTTTAGCATCCACAACCTGTTACAGCAAACCATTCTGTCACTCAGCTACAGACTGCGTGTGAGAAGGCCTTCCTTTTCTATTTAGGGTAATTTACATACAAGCATACTTTATACAGCAAAGGAGAAGGATGGCTTGCACAAGACGTTTTGTTACGAGTGTAGCTGGGGAATTTGAGAGACCTCTGAAAGGTCTTCACAATCAGGGAGGTCCCAGATTGAAGGGAATGGCACATACCACATCCATCTTCAAAAAGAGCACTGAGAAGGACCTGGGGATCTACAGGCTTGTCAGCCAGACTTCACTCAGTCCGTGGAAAAATTATGGAACAAATACTCCTGCAAGCCATTTCCATGTACGTGAAGGACAAGAAGGTGACAGGGAATAGCCAGAATGGATTTACCAAGTGCATATTCTGCCTGACAGTATTTAATATGCAGGCAAACAATAAGTTTCTATGCTAACATAGCTATTTGGATTAGTCTGCTATGCTGAAACGACTGCCTGTGTGAGTGAGGAAAGAACAGTGGATGTCATTCGCCTCAACTTAAGCATTGTTGTGCACGTCAACCTCCATAGTATCCTTGTAGCCAGAGATACCGTGCGGATGGGCGGATTATAATATGGGTGAATACTGGCTGGACCGTAGGACTCAAAGGGTTGTGATCTGCAGTACAAAGTCCAGCTAGCAGCCAGTTGCGAGTGGTGTTCCTTAGGGGCCATTACTGAGTTCATGCTGCTTCACATCTTTACCAACCACCTGCAAGATCATTACTGCCCTTTTCAAGCCCATGGATGACACCAAACTGGGGAAAGCAAGCAATATGCTGGAGGACAGGGCTGCCATTCAGTGGGAATTCAACAAGCTCAGTGGGCCAACAGAAGCCTCATGGAGTTCAAAGGCAAACACAGAAATCCTGCACCTGAGATGCCATAACCCCATGCACCAGTACAGGCTGAGGGTCAACTGCGAGGAAAGCAACTTTGGAGAAGAGACACAGAGGATCTTGTAGACAACAAGTAGTTCAACAAGCTGAACCTGAGCCGGCAGTGTACCCTTGCAGCAAAGGCCAACCACACTTCGGGCTGCATTTGGAAGAGCATTGCCAGCAGGTCGAGGGAAGCTTTTATCATCCTGCACTCAGCATCGGTGAGACCACAGTTGAGAGTTCTCCGTCCAGGTTTGGGCTTCCCAGCACAAGACAGTTATTGACAAACTGAAGCAAGTCCAGCAGAGGGCTACCAACACGCTCGCGTATGTGCGGTTGCTGAGAGGGATGGATTTGTTCAGCCTGTAGTTGAGAAGGGTGTGGGCTGGAGGGGAATCTAATTACTGTCTTCAAGCTTATTACAGAAGATGGAACTAATCACTTTTCAGTGGCACACAGGGACAGGAAAAGGAGCAATTGACACAACTCACAATAAGGGGTATTCTAATTAGATATTAGGAAGCAATTTTTCAC